TATATATATATATTATATTATAGAATTTTTTGTAAGTGTAAAAGAGTATGATGGTGCAGCAAAATTCATTTTGAATTAAAATTTAATCTGCATTGCATGAAAACCTGCTCTTGAAATATAAATGTATATTATTCTACAGACAATGAAAGCATGAAATATGGAACTATTTATAGCCTGTAACCGGTGAAAACAGCAAACAACTATGTTATTATTTACCAACACTCATAGAAATAATAATAATAGTCAAAACATGGAGGCCAGTTTCCCTCAAAGATTACCAAAGTCAACATGTCACGTCTCCTCTGCACAGTTGTGTCTCTCCTTCACTCGTCTGTATTTCTTATCAGCTAGTGTGAATTTAACAGAAATGCATTCATTTGCATCGCTTTTTCCAGTCTTGTTTTTGACCACATTGTGGCCTGCAGCAGTATCTTGTTTGTCTGACTTCCTCTTTCTCTTTCTTCCTCATTGCTCTTGCCGCATAATTCATTGTTATTTTCACCAGTAATGATCTTACATCCGCTGTGGCAATGCCTCTGTAGTGACAGTACTGCACAGTTTTGTCACACAGGTTATCGGTGCTACATCAGACTGAGAGCAGCCGGGTTGCACCACAACCCGGAGACAGTTGTCAGTTTGAAAAACAGATTAACAGACAGTAATACCACTGCCCAGAGAAAAGGTTTGTCCTCAAAAACAACATGAAGTGAACTCTGAAGTCGGAATGAATAAGGGATTGCAGTGCCTTTTTAGATAGCTCAGATTTGTGTAAAATTGAGCTTGAACAGCAGTGCATAGTGACAAAGTCCTGCATATTATATATTAAACTGTAACTCACAAATGTCCTTTATTCTCTTATTCACTGATGACCTACTCATTTACATGAGAGTTTACATTTGTCCCTGATAAAAACAAATAAATAAAACGGATACTGCTAACTAATAAATCCAGTGACAAATTGATGAATTACAAACTTCTTATCAAGATTAATGCTGTTTTACAGTGTGAAGAAATCAGCAATATTTCAAACAAAGGTTTTAGTATTTTTTATGTTTATTTATGATAATTTCCTTACTTTCGGTTTAAATACATATGAATGACAATGAGATGTAACTCTAATATCTTTAAAAATATTTAATACTGATGCATGGTAAATACAATATTTATACAGTATCATTATGTTGAGCAGACTTCACAGTACAGTACAATGAGAGGGTTCTTTGCTTTGAACAGAAAGTATTGAAATTGTGCGTAAAAAATGGTTTTGACAGAATTTAACTTAAAGAGGTGTGTTTTAAGCAATCTATTCAAAAGATTTGAGATTTAAATGTGTAGCCTATATTTATTTCCTGTACATATAAAAAGGGAAATTTACAACAACATATTTTATCTTGGGTAAATAACTTAAATAATGCACCCTTCTGATGCATTTTGATGGTTCATCATGTTTAACTGTGATGTTACAAATATCTCTAACCATCACAGAAACAGTTTTCCACTGGGGGTGGCCGTGTGTGAAGCCACGGAACCTAAACATTTGTGTACTAATGCCATGTATAAAACACAAGTAGTTAAGCAATAAAACAAGTGGACCAACAAGCTCAATGGCATTTTTGTCAAGTAACAGTTATTAAAGTCTGGAGTTGGAATACAAAGAATCACAGCTTGTGAGGATAAATGGGATTCATGGCAGGTAGGCCATATCCAGTTGGGGTATTAAACAGAGGAATGGAGTAGGGATATGGGTAAACAGCAGGCCCAATGAGAGCAGAGTGAGCCTGGCTCACTGGGATATGGCGGTACATTAGCTGAGATTGAGATAGTCTCATCCTGTTGGGGTGAAATGCAGGGTACAATGGAGGTTGGTGCCGAGTCTCTCTCACTGATTTGTCGTAGCTTGACAGGCGTGTCACCTGCAGGCTGGTGTTGGAATGGGACAGACTCTGCTGAGTGGTAGGAACTTTTTGTAGTATTGTCCTAGATTTCTCCCGCTTCTCCGTCTGATAAAGCCACGGTGCCATGTTGTGCTTCTTTGCATAAGTCAAAGACTCGTCCTGCTGCATTAACCTGCCCTGGTGGATTTTAGGGTCTACCCGAATAGGAGCGGGCCGCAGAAGCTGTGTAGATTTTGGAATAACCTTGGTGAAACTAGAGGTAGAGGTTGGAGCCCAGTCAGATTTCTCAGGGAAAGAGGAGGGTGGGTGGAAATGATGGGGGAAACATCTGACATTACCAAAGGGGATTTGCTTCCAGGCAGAGTCTTTAATCTGGCCTTTGATTGAGTCTGCAGACTGGGAACTAACGTGAGAAATGTCTTTATTTTGTCCTGCAGGGTTTTTGGATATCTGACTACGAGTCACAGACTTGCTTTCCTCACTACAGCCGGATGTACTTTTCTCAGAGCTGGAACAGTTATGGGGTAGCTCAGAGCTTGATGCAGGTTTATCTTCATTCCCTGCTGCACCGTCCTCTGATGAAACAGAGACCGGAGAAGGGCTGCGAGAAGAGGAAGATGATAAAGGGACCGGGGAGCCGTCAGAGGAGTTGCCGTTCTGGCTGGAAGAAGCGCGGGCCGGAGACTGGGAGCAGTGAATGACGGAGGGCCTTTCTTTATCCTCGCTCTGAGGACTCAGGGGCAAGTTGAGGCTGGCCTGAGCCATTCGCTTTTTTTTCTCCAGTGGAGAGATGACCTCTCCAGCAGCAGATGGGATATGAGCAGGCCAGGGGCTGGATGTGGGGACCTGGACAAGGTGGGCATAGACAGATGTGCAAAGACTGGTGGCGGCTCTGTTTGGCTGAGAGCAGTCCGGACGGTGTCTGTCAGACGTGGGGGCCCAGAGAGCGGGGTGAGGATGCATCACTGCTTCACTTTGGCATGCAGCCTCTGGACTTCTTTGGGTGAGTATCTATAACATAATAGAGGGGTTGCTTTAAGACACATTGTGTACCTATACAGATTGCTGTCTTTTTGATTCATTTTAACAGATGTTACCTCAGAGTCCATCTCTCTATCCGACTGAGTCCTTTTCCTCTTCCTCTCAGCCTTGTGGACCTTGCCATCCAAATTTCTCTTATAAGGCTTCCGTGGTTTGCTTGGAGGCAGAGGTTTGTCTTCCTCTCCTTTTATGTGTCTTTCAAAGGGCAGCACCAGCCTAAAGAAATGAAAATTTCTGGTTATGAATCGGTTGATGTAGCGATTGCATTGACAGGTTTAGTTGGAAACAGAACCATCCTTACTTCTCATAGTGTCTGCGAGTGCAAGTGGCAGCGCTGGTACTACCTGGACTTCCCCCCAGTTCATCATACACTTTCTTCCATAGACGTCGCGCTGTCACCTGTTGGATAAAAATGTGCATATGTAACAACCCGTCGGTAATGCTTGTGCTATTTTTCCACCAAAATGTGTGAGAAGTTACTGACAGTTCACGCCAGGTACGTAGTGACACATAAAAACAAAATGCTCAGGGTCTTCTTCCCTATCACAAACTAAAGGGCTGCTTAGTTGTGAGTGCCACCAAGGAGCCAAAAAATGTGCAAATGATAATTTATGATGTTTTATGATCTATTTGCTGTTTTATATAGTAGCATTTATGGAGGAAACCGCTGTAGAAATTGCTCCCGGTGGTTGAGAGAAACATAATGCAGCCCTTTACCTGTTACATTCTTACACCTCAAAACCCCTGAGATAGCGTGCCTTCCTTTCTGATTTCCGTCAGGCGCTTGCACCCCGGCATACTCGCTTTCACGTCTGGTTTTAAAACAGTTATTGGAGAAAATAGGTGGCTGGTTACCCTTTAAATGCCATGTCTGCTGGTTTTCAGTACTGAAAGAAAACTTTCGTTTTTAACTTTATGCATATGTAGGCGGCGTATATTGTTGGGTTTACGCTCTGGGACACAGCGGCGGTGGAGATGGTGGTGGCGGGGGGTCACCTCTCTCTAGAGCCCCAGCCCTGCTCTATAGTGTCATTTCAATATGAGTCGCTGTCTCAGAGCTTGTCAAACAGTGTCAACATCAAAGACAACAGAGCATGCGTGGTGATACATCGTGAGCTCTGCAGCGTAAATGTCCTCCAGTGTGGTAGAAACCACCGTGTCACAGTACCTGACCTATAGCTGATTTTCCACTGAGAAACCTGTAAACACTGAAGCCTTCAGTGAAAGGATTATCAATTAAAGAGCCTGTACTTACGGAATCATAGCCCCCAAGTTTCTCCACAGCTTTATAGATCCTCCAAAGATTAACTGAAAGTGGAAAAAACCCAAATTATTTTCATTCAAATTCCACGTGAATATTGTGGTCATTCAACAGCCAGCTTAGGAACTCACTCTGCTTGAAGCCCAGATGTGGGATCCTTTCTATGGGTGTACCTCTGTCCTTCATAAAAGAGTGCAGACTTGAAACAAACGACTTCTCCTCCATCTGCACTAGACTGGGCCTCGCTTCTTCCTCACACTCAGTCATGGAGTCATGAATCTCAATGACAGTGGGAGAAGCCTAGCATGGAGAAAACACGTACATTAGAGAAGTTTTGCATCAAAATCAAGTGGCTCCTG